ATGAATTGAGCAACCTAGAAGCATGATTTATCTACAGTAAAGAAAATCATTTCAGTAGTCAGCAGCCACCTTGATTTCTGTCAGTTCTTATATTGTTATGATTTGAAAACTGCTATAGCCGCTAACGATGAACGGATATCGAGTGTCAGCCACCAACGTTCTACAAATTCCTAGTTGATTCCCAACCCTAACCGGCTAGTTAATCAATTAAACACGACAGACTTGTGTCGCGGTCGGAAGGATCGAAGATAAGCACAAAGAAAAATATTTCTAATATATAGACAGTAATTCGCTGTTTAAAATAATCCTATTGATTGGCTGATCTAGTCTGTCTATCTAACTATCGATATGATAACATAAACTGCATTTTGATTGGTCACTCTGCAGACTAGGCTTTTCTCTCTTATCCCCATGTCATATATATTTTCACTGTTGTTTTTACTACTAATATTTTAGAGGCCTACCGAAAAAAGAATCGTACAAGTTAACCGTTGTCTTCAACTGCTGTTCATACACCCCATTCCCCGGACTGTGTGAAATGTTAATGATGAATAGTGGTTAGCAATGAAATCCAGGACGTACGTTTCTTCCTATCTGGGACTCGTCAGCTGGATGTGCGGGATAATACAACCAATAACATTAGTGCAAAAAATGATGGTTTCTACTGAAATTTGTCATTCGTTTCTCAATTAGTTTAGCATAATCATACTGTAAGGTGATTTCAATGCAAACATTAAGACACTTTGGGTAAATTTTTCAAAACATCATTTCAATAGTAAGATAATATTGATCGTTTCCAACAACTTGTTCTTGGTTAGCCTAAAACACGAAGGTGAATACCAAATAATTTCTCGATAACCAAAAATAGACACTGACAGACCATATTTATATGAGTGATTGTTGGAAAGGATTAGAAAACCACCACTCTTTTGAAGGTAACCATTTAGACTCCAATCATATGTTCATGATGGATAGTGGCTGGCAGCGGGATCCAGGACGCGCGTTTTGTCTTATTTGGGACTCGTCAGTCGGATGTACCTGCCTCCCAGTGAGTGATGTTGTTCCCACTGATACTCTAACAGGATAATACAAGCCAGAACATAAATGTTATACCCATTGGACAAGAAGTAACTATTATGGCTTGTTGGTCTGGTGGATAATGCACTGGCGTTTGAAGCGGTCGGTTCCCAGTTAGAGTCTTGATGAGAACAGCATCAATCACTGGGAGGCAGGTACATACAGCTGACGAATTCCAAATGGGATGAAACGCGCGTCCTGAATCGCACTGCTAGCCACACGGACAATATTGAAGACCAATCAATTCGGTCCAATCAACGATGGGATAATACAAACAATAACATTATTTAGACTCCGTTGGAGCGAATTCTCAACATTAACTAGACGTAGGTAAAACATGTAGCTGACAAACCTGTCTAGGATACCTTCGATCATCAATGTATATCAGAATGATGTTTAATAGGGAAAGTGGTTCTTCTCTTGATGCTGTGTCTATTCAGTGTAATACAAAAGCAACCGTAAAGTTATTTATCGATTTAAAAACTAAAGTTTAGTCAGTTTGATAGATCACATTCGCAGTACCATGCAGAAAGAAAATTCATTAAACACGAACTGATAGAGATTTTGCAGACTACCATAACCACTGGTAGAATAATCAATATTTCTGTGCTAAGGCACACTTAACATGTAAGAGTCAATGATACTCATACATAGTTGTTTAAACTTGACATCCAACAATTGAAAGATGATCCCTTAAAAACAACCTAATGTATTAAACATCAATTGGAATAAACGGTAGACAATATCTGATAGTACGGTAGAAATAACTTTGTCAAACAAAATACCTTCACCATTCTTAATAGCAATTTATTTGGTTGTGGCTAGGAGAAAAACCCAGGATGGGCGTCTCGTCCTATTTGGGACTCGTCAGGTAGATGTACCTGCACCCCAGTGTCTGATATTGTTCCCACTGAGACTCCAACCGCGTACCCATCGTTCCAAACACCAAGGCGTTATCCACTAGGCCGCTGGGGCATGACAGTCACTTCTTGTATAACCGGTACTAGTTATTACTATTTATTGGTGTAGTTGTTATTCTCCGTTCTTTTATTGGATTGAATTCATCTGCTAGCCACAACCAAACAAATTATCATAATTACCATTCAGGCAATACATATCGAGGCATCCACCAAAAAGCTAATATGCGAATACAGGTCGAACAATTCGACCCAATAAAACAACGGAGAACAGCATATACATAAATTATTTTTATTATTTGTCCCCTAGATTCCTTAGTAGAACATAGGGCCTCAGTAGCACATCTCCATTTCACTCTCTACTCTCCAGTCTTCTCAACCTGGCTCCACGACAGTCCACAAGCTCATTTCTTCCTCACACCATCTCCTCCATGTCACCCTCACCTCGGACGCCCAACTCATTGCTTCCTATAGGGGTTCCACTCGACGGTTTCCCCTGGCGCGTGAAATCCCCACTCGCCCTCTCAGTGTATGCCTGATTCAATCCATCTCCACTTCCTTCTGCATATTTGTTCAGCGATGGGTTCTTGATTGGTTCGTTGCCAGGTCTCTCTCTCTCTCTCTCCTACCTGCAGCCTGTTCTGCTTCACTTGCCAGTGTGTCGTAGAAGTGTATTTTGTCTTTGCGCACACTCATATTCACTTCTTTGTCAACTGTAATGTTATATAGGTTATGCTCAGTTCCTCTTCTCATTATTCATCCCTGCACTCCACTCCACTGCATTGCATTGCACTGCACTGGTTCATCTTCTGCTTCACCATCACCACCTCACTCTCCCTGCTCTATCAGCTTACATGTGTCCATCGAGATCCAATCCTTGTCTCATCTTGCTTCTTCTTCCTTCCTTCCTTCCTTCATTCCTATTACGGTCGTACAGGTTTCCCACCACATAGCTAGCTTTCAAAGAGTTCCAGTCTTCTTCCACTCAGCTTCCTTCAGGGATGTTGGCTCAATGTCTCTCTCACATTCCGTCTTCATGGCTGGCTGAATGACTGACTGACTGACTGACGTGAAGATGTCCTTTGTAGTTTCCTCCTTCTGTGTCTGTTCTCTTTGTTAAACTTCAACTGTGTTCTATCATCACCAGCTGCTTTGAAGGCTTCCAACTTGATTTCGAAAGTGGCTTCCTTGAACTACATACTGAGTTGAGTGGTGTCAACCTACATCTGCTCCCCTTCTTCATCTGATCTGATCTAATCTAATCTGATCCAATCTGATCTGATCTTGTGTCCAGTAGGCTGCATCTCCACTCTCTTCACATTCAAATCGAGTCGATATGATTTTTGGTGTGTCAACCTGATGATGAATGGTGGTGAAATCAAATACATGTCATTGTCTTGTCAATATCCTTGTGTCCTTGTGTTTGCATACACTGACACTGACTCCCTCCAATCACCAAATCGTTCAATGCACAGAAGTCTGCAAACACTTCTACATTCTCATTCATCATTTCACCCAGTACTTCTCGACCCATGATTACTTCTCTTCCTCTGTGTGGTCCGCTCCCAGTTTGGCATTCATGTCACACCATCCATTAAAATGGATTTCGATGTCACCAACTGAGGTGGCGTCTTGTCAGCTATTGATTTCAGTTGTCGATACAATTCCTCCTTCTTCTCTTCATCTGCATTATTTGTAGGTGCGTAGCGCAATGCAGTGCAGTGTAGCATTGTATGGATGTGACTTTGCTTCCTTTTGAGTTGAATCCATCTTGCTGTCATCATCCTGATCCTGTAGGAGGAGATTGGTTCCCACTGAGTGAGAGAGAGAGAGCCTTCGATGATCTTGGAGACATCATGATAGCCATTCCATAAGTCAATGTGCTCGTTCGTGGTTGTTGTTTGGGTGACAATATCAGAGTACATTATTGACTCTTCTCCAGTTGACACTTTGAAGAGTCCACTTCCATTACATCCATTTTCGTAGACTCCACTGAAAATTATACTACTACTTAATTTCTAGTACATGTAACTTATAGTGTACCATAAACCCGACTATCTCACAAGCATAGAACTATAATTCCCAAGTCAAAAAGAGAAGTACAACAGTTGCCAATACCTAGTTTTGTATTTTAATTCACTTCATCACTACTCATGCACACGTACGTAGTATGTATGGCGGTGGGAGACACGGAAGGAGTAAAATAAGAGTCAAGTAGGGGGCGACACTTCTCATGGTTTTAAACGCCACTACCACAACTTCGAAAATAACCAATAACATTCCTACATTTTATGAAAAAACTATTTTGTCAACCTGAATCAACCCACTCAATCGCTTATTTCGACTCACTTTAAAGCCCACCCTACAAACACTATGGAAATAATCACTTAGGCTTCTCGATTCTATTGCAATCTGCCTTTCCAGCAGCCCAAATGGAGAAACCGAATTCGTCATATTCATCATTACTACGATGGCCTTTTAAAGTCGTCCGTTGTTTTAGTGACCGACAGAGTGAATTTTAGAATCATTCCAATATTCGATGAGTGAAGTGTATACAGAAGTCATAGTCATGTGAAAATATTCAAACATATCTGTAGTTGGTTTATCTTTGAGATGAATGGGGATTATAATTTAGCAGTAGTATTCATTACGGAGTGATATCAGTTGGGGAACCATTGAAAATCTAGGAGCATTGGACAGTTATTTTGTCCTAGTATGGGACTCCTCAGCAGCTGAGTTGGTTAACGCGTTGGGTGCGAAACCTGGGGGTCCTGAGTTCGACCCCTAGCTGAGTGCATACTGCTGAAGAGTTCTATACTAGGACGAAACAGCTGTCTAGTGCTCTCAGAATTTCAATGATCGCCCCCCGCCCCTAACTGATGTTAGTCCATGATGAATACTACCTCTAAATCTGTAGTTATATTTCGAAATCTTGTGATGAAGTGGTAAAAGAAAAGTTGTATTGACTGTAAACCTTTTGCTAACAGCATAGAAACAAAGACTTACCAAGACAATCGATATCACCATGGCCTTGAGTGAATCGTCGTATTTCTGCTTGTTCTTTATGCTTTCGACGAAGTGTCATCAATCTATCAATTAGTTTATCATAACTTTCAACTGATTTTTGAAGTCTTTCTTTTAATATAGAATAATTTTCAGTTAAATATGACTTGAGAATTTGATTTAAGAAATCATTCTTGTGATATAATGATGCCTAAATAAGATTTGGAAAAAAAAAAGCTAGACAATGATAATAGTTTCGAAAGATTCTATGGAATCAAATAAATTCAATAGAACTGTATAACAGTTATTTTTAGATAAACAATGTAGCAAGTTATTTCACAAGTAGATACTGGCAGACATTTGGACGAGAACTCATGATCTAAGTTTCGTGCATATTGCTACTCATCAGAGACATGTGTCTCCAAACTTGAAGAGATGTATGTTCCCTTGGAAATTTAAATCTACTTTACTCGTTGAATAATGAAACCGCAGACTTTAATCAATAATTCAATTCACGTCACTAATCATTCCTTCGTGTAGGATTAGAGAGTAGGAGTACCTGAATTTGTCACTAGATGCTAATCAATGTGTACAATAGAATGTAGTTTCAAATTGCTTAGTTATGTGTCAGCACTCTATACTCAATTGATAAGCTTTGATCACAGTTGAGAACTTAGAATTTAATAGCTGTATCGGCGATCATTCAGTGGTCAAGTTCTGTATAGTAAAATATACCAGAATGTATTGGTGTCAAGATTGGACACTGACTGTTGGCACCTTTTTGTGTGGAGGTATATGTACATAGAAATGAAGATTCAGAATAATGGGAGGAATAATTACATATACTGGTTGATGATTGAAGGTGATGTGAAAATCTCGACTGCGACCAGATTCGAACCAACGGTCACCGGGTTTGCTGGCCGATCCTCTACCAACTGAGCTACGAGGTTCGACTGCTGACCAGATTTTCATTTCACTCCAATCAACAAGGGTTTTGCCCGTTCATCATGCGCATTCGTGACGTGGTGGTCACTGGTTCGATTCCCACAGTGGTCCAAATTCCCATCTCACATTCAATGATCACCCAGTATAAATACTAGTCTGCCAAACTACGGTTATCTCAGATAGTCAAGTGATAATCAATATGATGCTCACTCTTATTCAGTTAGATTTGAATTCGGATGAGAAGTCTTGACTAATTATCCAGTGTGAATAAGACCATGCGGTGGTAACGCATCAGGAATTCACATGGTAGTCGGGTAAAACCCTTGATGATTGAAATGAAATAAAAATGTGGTCAGCAGTCAGATATCTTAGCTCAGTTGGTAGAGCATCTGGGCTGGAAAGCCGATGACCACTGGTTCGAATCCCGCCGCGGTCCAAATTTCTATCTCACCCAGTATAAATACTAGTCTGCCAAATTACGGCTGTCTCAGACAGTCAAATGATAAGACTTTAAGTAACCTGATAACTATAAGTAAGGACTTATTTACTGCTTACTGACCCTCACAGTAACCTTGACAGACTATTCATTATTTCAAGGTTATATTGCAGTCAGTATACCTTAGTCACATTCCTGTGTTTAAGCTTCAGTTTTATTTTATTAGTACTCTTCAGTTAAATGGATTATTCACTTTGGAATTGAAATTATTCCATCGTAATCAGCGATCCGTATCAACTACCGAGTTCAACGATCCTATTGGTACACTAGACATTGTCTAGTGTAGGCACCATACAGAAACAACTTCCACCGTATAGGCAACTAAGAAGTAACAACCAAATGCATACCGCTTCCAGCAGTATACGAAACCCCGTACCTTCGCCTCCTTAATTTTCTTTCCTGTAACCATTGTTAACGATCAAGTCAACAAATTATCATTTATAATCTTCTAAAACTCTACAACCAATTTCACAATGAAGCTTCCAAAATCCGAACAGTATGCTAAGTGGGATATAACATGTGTCCAGTGCTAAAATTTTGAAATCACGAACCATGGTTATACACTGTATTTCTTAGGCACCTATACAAGACTGAAGTTTGATTATTCACTTGACCACACCTGACCAGTGTGATGAACCAGCAAAATTCACTTCACAAGCATCCGTAGATTCAATCGTTAGCTCTTACAGACTTACTGATGTAGGTACAACACTAAATTGTTTGGTAGAAAGCGCACTTATTGACTGAATACCAACCAGTATCTGTCTGTGATCTATTTAACTGAATGGTTTTATGTGAACGGGAAAACACCATGATACCCATCGATGCTGATTTATAGTCATCGACTATGTGGCTACAGACTTCGAATGATACGAAGGATAAACTCCATCAAATTCTGTTAGTTCCGCTACAAAAACCAAGACGCTCCGATATAATTAGACTAGCAAGCGACTATAAAACTCGAAGAAGGCCACTGAGACAGTCAAAAAGGCATCTTGGAGGTGTGTACAGTATCACATGCCAACGAACCGACAACGGTGATCGCCTGCTGTAACTTTGTTCTGACAATCACTAGTTTTAGGTCAGCACTAAATTCAAGCATAAGAAGAGACACTGTCGAACATGATGCCTGTCTACAGCAAACCAAAGATGGACACAGATATATCACACTGATATAAGGTATCGTTGGAGGACTATCGCTCTTTTTGGAATATCTGTTTAGACTCCGATCACGCATTAGTACGTGTACTTATATGTTTGCAACATACTGGTTGAAGGAAATAGACGGCAATGAAGTCTATGCGAGCTCGATTGGGAGGTAAGTTGGTGAGATAGTGAAGTATTCATCTGAATGTGGTAGCAATCGTCATCCTGATGAAGCCTGGTGTGGAAACAGCGGTAAAGATAGTAGGCCACCTAAATCCAAACGTTGGCAAAAGCCAGTGAATTTCTGCAAACATTACCCGAACTAATTGATGAAAGAAAACTCACTCCACCAGGCTCTGATTCCAATGAGGAGCAAAAGCACGGTAAACGTAAATTGACTAAGAGTCTTCGCAATAATCATGAGTGGTGACAGTGAGCGAGGGAGACGGAGAGGCTGTTAGTACTACTCAATGCTTGTCAGTTAGCCAGACTTATCAGGGAAACTGGCGAGAAGAGGATGATGGCCAGCTGAACTACCGCCAAAAAGAATAAGTAACGTATAACGTTTCTGAATAAATAGTAAGGACATTGAGTGCAACCTTCTGAAACACAGCTCAACAGGCTTACAACAACAATTCAGTTGCCTAACATCCATCCCAAACCTGGATAAAACATAAATGTCAGCCCTCCAACTCTCTTCGAAGTTAAAAAGGCTGTTTCGAACCTGACGGTTTGCCATTCGAAAATTTTAAGGATAGGCAAAGGAAATTACCGCTTAGAGCAACGGAGGTACTATGTAGTGTATGGGAACCCAAGTTACTCCCGTTAGAATGGTTTTCCTCGCTGTTCACTCCAGTCTGTAAGAAAGGATAATGGTCTTCTTGTAAAAACCACACGGGAACATCATGACCAAGATCCTGAAGTCCACAGTCATCTGACACCAACCTGGAGCTCGACAACAGCAAACTCGAAGAACTCAGGTAGGCTTCAAACTTGAATGAGGGTACATTGATCAGATCTTCACCATTTGACAAGTTCTGGAGTACATACATACTTAATGGCGGTCGATATGAAGGCAACATTCGATTATAACCGCCGAGAGGTGGTGTGACAGCGTCTAACTGGGAAGGGTGTACGGAGTAAGTATATAATCCTGATAAGAGTTCTCCACTCAAACTCACGTAGCCGTGCACCAGCGTAAACAGAGTTGTAATCTTGGTAGCCTGCTTAAAATTTTGGACACCAAGAAATTTCCATCCTATTTTTAATCAAATTACTCCTTTTGCACTTGTTTTAATTATTCAACTGTCAATATATCGTAAAATGTGCTTTCGCGCATTCTCAAAATGTTTCCAATTTATCATCAGGCAAGTCAACAGCGAAAGTGCAAAATAAAATATCACTGTTGATGGCACTGGGCTCTTCAGTTAACAACAGTTCATCAGGAATGGTTAGGATGACTTGCAAATTATTATGGTGACTGAGTTACCTTCTCCCCCCCCCCTTCAACAAACACCTTCGTGTGCTTTTCTGTCCGTCCCTCTTTACAACAACATACAGGCACAATAAGAGGAAAACAACTGGTCATTGTGTATTATTGCTTATAATACTGCCATTATTAACATTACTTAGCTGTGATAGTCATTCAGTCTAAAAATACTGTACAAGGAGTGAGTTTGTTGACATATCTCACTGAGAATTTATTGATTTGAAAACTGCTATAGCCGCTAACGACGAACGGATATGGAGTGTCAGCTACCTAAGTTCAACAAATTCCTAGTTAATTCCCGACCCAAACCGACTAATTAATCGATACGAAACGATGGAGGTGTATCACGGTCGAAAGACCGAAGATAAGCACAAAGGAAAATATATCCAATACATAAGCAGTAATTCGCTGCTTAAAAATAACCCTGATCCAACGTCGCCTGGTTAACTAGTTCAATAGTTACTACCTGGACCTAAACCTGGATAAAGAGGAAAGAATGGGCATAAAGCTATCAACCCTACACCGGAAAACCATTCCAACCGCTAAAGAAACTTCGAAGCACAAACAAAATTATTCCCCGCTGGAATAGGAGAGACGAGATGTCTCCGGTTGGTGAAAGCCTTCAGAAAGCCAATTGGCCGATATTTCTTCTCTCTCTCTCTCTCTCTCTCCCTCGATGACAGCGAAACTAAGAATGCGGACATGCAATGTCCGCACCATGTATGAACCTAGTAACGCTGCCCAGATAGCAAAAAAAAAGGGAAGGTATAGCATAGAAGTTCTAGGAATATGTGGAAGTAGATTAAATGGAAGTGGACTCTTCAAAGTGTCAACTGGAGAGGAGTCAATAATCTACTCCGATATTGTCACCCAAACAACAACCACGAACGAGCACACTGACTTATGGAATGGCTATCATGATGTCTCCAAGATCATCGAAGGCTCTCTCTCTCTCACTCAGTGGGAACCAATCTCCTCCTACAGGATCAGGATGATGACAGCAAGATGGATTCAACTCAAAAGGAAGCAAAGTCACATCCATACAATGCTACACTGCACTGCATTGCATTGCGCTACGCACCTACAAATAATGCAGATGAAGAGAAGAAGGAGGAATTGTATCGACAACTGAAAT